AAACAATCATTTTAAATGTGTATTTTTTTATTTGTTAAAGATTATATTTAAATTATAATAATATTGTAAAAAATGTATATCGATAAAGACAATTGTAATTTCCTAGGATTAGATTTTGAAAACATATCTAACACTTCTTCAGGTTTAACATCAATTTGTTTATGGATATTAAGCAAAGCTAACCCATTTAAACGGGTTTCCCCCATTGTTGTTCTCAAGTATGTTTTTATGCGTTTTAGCGTTGAGAAAGACCGCTCACTTGTCGATGTTGTTACTGGTATTATTGCTAAAATTAGTAAAATATATATAATTATAATATAATGTGTTTGAGCGAAACAAACAATATAAAAGATAAAATTATAAAAATTAATAATAAAACCTAACTTATGCAAATGGGGGGGGCGAGGCCTTTCGGTCCCCCCTTAAATCCACCACTGTGATGTATATACATATATATCAAATATATTAATTCATAAATCATTATAGAGCGAATACCCAATTTGAGTTTGTTATAACGATATTCTACAGTAGGTATATTCTTTTTCTAGTGAAAATTACATACATTTGATTCGATATATTAAGCACAGTAATTTATCATAATGGCGATACATTTTAAGCATCGAAAGTTTTCTAATCTCCTTAGCGCACATTAAATGACAAGTATAATAGGTACCTAATAATATCCAATGTTTGTATCATATTTAACGTTACGTGAGGAATTTCATAATGGTGTATTTTTTTTATTGTGGTACTCCCAAGTGGCAAGCTTAATCTTCATAATACATAAAAGAATGGAACTAAAGGGAGAACTTGAAAGCCATTCTGCGGTCAAATGATAGTCGGGGAAAAATTTGTCGATATTAATCTTATTCTACTTTTTAGGTTAAACTAAAAATGTTAATTTTATAGTGAGGATACTAAATACCTACAATTAGCCGATGGAATTCACTCAGCGCTCCCTACGACATGGTTGATTTCAAGACTTGTATACCTATGATATATTATTAAGTATTATCGTCCCGAATTAACTAGGTTTTCAGCGTTCCACCCAAAAACAAAATTAATTTATAGTATACAAATAAAGTTTGTACAAATATATTCCATATTCATTTACATACATAGAAATATTTCTGTCTATTGAATTCAATACTATATGTATACATGCATAGTATAAATTAACTAAATCTATATCCTGAAATGCTAGCTGATTGATATAACTAAAGTACCTTAATATATTATTATTATCAAAATTAYATCGATTTAAAAAGGTAGAAGGAGAGAAAAAAGTTAATAGATAGTCATAGATATACTATATATTATTATCTATGTAGATATAGTACACCGAAATCCTCTTTCTTCCACGCATCATATATAACATTATGCTCAATCCATTGTTGACTACTCGACTATCGTATTTCACTTAATTATTGGTAGTATTAGTAAGTAGATGGTATTTTCGTAAATTGTTGAAAATACAATTTGAGATTAGGTACATTTTTATTATAATCACGTACTAACAAAATATTTTCACTTTTTACAGTAGGTACACTTTATTATTTAATATACATTTAGGTAATCCCTTTTTTGTTAATTTTAAAACTAAAATATTGTCATAATATATCGTTCCTATGAGCCATCATAGTCGATGACTGAAGTCTAATAAAAAAAAAAATATATATATATATATATATCGTTCCTAACTCTAGCCTATGGTACTAATTTTTAGTTTTTACAGTTAAGTATATATTGTTATGCTATGCAATATTATATATTATAATATTATTTAATACTATAAAAAKCCTAGCCAATAAGAGAATGATATTTGTCAGATAAATTGTGGTTTAAAWTTTTTTTTTTTGTAACAACCTTTTTTTGCYATTTAGCAATAATATGMAAATTTATAAAAGGTATTTGTATATTTTGTATGCAGTTAGTAAATTTAAACAACAAGTATTACTTTTTTCGAATTTCCATACCATCTAATAGTTCATAGTCACGAAATAGTATAACTTGAAAATTTAATAGTGTTACTTATTAGTTATTATCGTCCAATTTCAAATTAGGTGTAGGTATATTATACATATAGATTATAGGTACCTAATATATTTCGCGTTTCTCTATAAATATAAATGAAGAATATTATTTCGTGATTTATTAAAGAGTTTTTYTATTTTTCCCTTGTGCGATATTAAAAAATTGTATTTTATTTAATATATATAATATGATAACAGTATTATTTCAGTACGATTCATAGATATTTTAGCAATCTTTAAAAATAAGATAATATATAATAGTACCTAGGTATACCATATTATAGTAGGTATATTATGTCTTATGTAGGCACCTAAAATTATAACTTCTAATTAAATACGATTTGTAGAATTCCTAATTTAATAGTGATAGTAATTATTCAATAAATATTAGAATCAACAGAAGAATTTAAAAAACAACCACGGACATTTGACCAGAACATTGTATAAAATTTGAGTGATATCCGAAAACTTACTTATTAGTTTTTATGATAGAAACATAACCTAATGTTRTATAATTAATAGGTAGTTAMTCTGAAAACAATACCTTTATTTTTTATTTCATGTTTTTTATTGTACAATAACATTACATATTTTTATTTGTTATAATTTAGTCAATTTACGTACTTAAGTCAATGATACGTCAAATTCGACATAAAGTTATATAGTACTTCAATTTAAAATAAACATTTTAAAAGAAAAAAGTTCTTAAACCTCATAAAATATACAATAGGATATTTACAAATATTTACAGTGGATATTTAAAAATGAATGAAAAGTTAGATTATTAATACATTACTTTTTTTCGTGAACTAATAAATGTATTGTTCAATACGAAATCAATATACCTATACTTAGTAAAAATAAATAGAAATAACTTCATTTTAGATTCTGARCGGAGCGAGGAATGTATTGATTTTACCATTTGTGTGTGTTTTTTTTTTTATGCCTGACATCACGTTTTGGGGAAGTAAAAATGCTTCRATTTCCGACTTCAGTGCCTYGTTCGATTAGAAAGTGAATCTAGTTAGTACTTTGGGGAACAAAAGTAAAAAATTCTCAATATTTTTCTAAATAATCGGGATAAACAAACTAACAATTATGGAAAAACGGAAAATTTTACGCACAATCAGTTTTCGACAAAATTGATTTTGGTTTTTGATGAAACTTTAAAACAAATGACCATAGATTCATGAAATTTTCACCGAAAATTTATATAAGTATATTCTATCCAACTGAAGTTGAACTAATTATAGGCATATGCAAATGTTGATCATTATTACTTACTAGTTTTTTTTTAAATTAATATCGTTAAAAATGTATTTGTTGGGTAGAAAATTTAATACAAGGCTCCTAACATATTGATACAAATATACAATAGCAGTTGAAAAACAAAAGAAGTACATAGTAGTAATTTTTTTTTATAAGCATTCAAAGTTTAAATTTTGACAATCACGAAAATTCGCAAATTATTTAAAGCTGGAAATTCATAAAAAATGTTCTTTTCAAATATATGATTTGAAAATTTAGTACAAGATTTCTTACAAGTTTGTCTACCTTTATCAAAAAAATAAATAAAATTTCCACCGGAAAGTCAAATATTTTAATAATCAATAATAATCTATAATATATCCTAGATAGAAAAACCGTCTCCGCTCAGAATCGTTTTTCGTATACAATGATATAATATCATTGAATTCAAATTTTATTCCATCCATTATAGTAACCCACTTGTAACCTACTGTACAGCAAAACGATATCCATTTTCCCGCTTTTTTTTTTAAATACACATTAGACACAAACATTTAAATATATAGGTACATGAAATATTAGCATACAATAAATAATTMATAAGAAAAAAATTTTGTTGCGCAAAACATTGGATTGGGAAGTTCTATTATGGTCTTATTATTTATTGTTTAACTTTTTAGACGTCAGTGGAAGCATGGAAAATTTAATGGACGAAACTCAAGAAAAATTCAGTTCGTTATTTGGAAAAGCAGAAAAACAAGTCGAAGATGTAGAAAAGTCAGTAGATGACAAAGTAAACGATTTTACTTCAACTATGCCAGAGTAAGTGGCTGCAGTTATAATTCCACGGATATTTCTATCATTTGTTGAAATTATAAATGATGATTAAGTTTCGGCCTTTACTTAAAGTATTATAAGAGACATAGGTATTCCGTCTCGTGCCATTAATAAGCTATAGTGTAAATCAGTTATCCATCATGATCATCTTATAACATGTACAAGTTAATTAATTGTTATTTTAAGTACCTATATATATTATATATATTATATAACTATTTATCCATGTATTTTATTCATAAGCTAATCTAGAGTATGTATATCAACTGTCAATCATCGAAGTAAGAATAGGTACCTATATAATATAGTGTATTCAAAGTGTAACAGTGTGACTAAACTAACAAATATTAATAAACAACATAAAAAAAATTAAATCATATATTTGTATACCTATCAATTATCAATATTAAACTATTTAGCTTACCTCAATTTATTTTCTATAGAATATAATACACACTTCCTTTTCATGGTTCAAAAGCATTTTACGTCTTGTTTTAACATACTGTATTGTAGATTCCATGCATTAAACAAATAGTAAGTATATGTACATATTTAAATATTTATTTTTCTGATTAATTTATTTAAAAAACTGTATTACAAAATACAGATCTCATAATAATTTAAAATAATAATAAATGTATATAATATATATAATATATATACTAACTAACACAGATAAATACCTAATTATAACAATTTTTATCGGTTGTTGCCGAGAAGCAACACCATGCATTGTAGGGTTAAATAAATAATAATTTAAGAAATCGTCGTAATATGATAATAAATTATACGTACGATTAACCAAGTCATTATAGCACAATAAAAAACTTCTTAAGCCTCCTAAAAATAAATGTATTATTTTTCATAATAATTGTCGAATATCGTATCTAGAATTCGTTGATAAATTATAGGTTTAAAATGAGGGCATCCTCTTTTAAAAATATCTAATTCCGACCAACAAAAAACCTATTAAGACTAAAATCGCAGAACCAATTGATTTTAGTACACTATATAATAAACCTATACAACACCAAGACGCCAAAGCGCGAGTGCACGCAATATCCGGCCACGCGCTTATGCAAAATTTAGATATTTATAGAACCTTCATGGCGTGGTAGTAGGTATACAAGCCACATTACCATCTATATAACAATAAATTGTGTACACGGGTCAATGCTGACTTTAAGTTACATTTTTAAAATGTAACATAATATATGCGAGCCATATGTATTTTATAGTTTTAGGTCTAGTTATTACAATTTATTGTACCCATTATACGATTAYGAATATGTTTCCTTCGACATGATATGAGTATTATGGCTACAACTAACGCCCCATGTTGAAAACATAATTTTTCTTGAAATACCAACCCATGTTAATATTTGATAGATATTATAGGTATGTATTGCGACGTACAGTCGAGCTCACTCAATCTGGTACGGAAAATATGCACCGGAATGTATACGTCATCATAATATGGTGTAATGATATAATTGGTATGACTCATTATTCCATATTCCAATGCAGGATAGTGAAAAATAATTGTTCACCGGTTTATACCAACAAATTTATAGAATAACAATAATATAAAAAGAAATAAACCAATTAATGTTTTTAAATTATACAAACGTGTTAAAGATATTATAAAAGAGAAATTCTATTAATTTGTTTTATAACAGGTTCAGTTTAGTTTGGGCCCTAACATTTTATTTTAAAATAATTTTAAGAATGACTAAATTAACTTAATGAAAAATTAAAATGATAGTTTTAACATAAATTATTAAAAAACAGTTTGGGACCCAAGCAAAGAATCTGTTATAAAACAAATTAAAAGGGTAGGTATCACTTTATTATATCTTTAACCCGTCGATGTCACTAACGTCTGACAACTAGCCTGTTGTGTTTATAATATGACTTCACTTATAAGTTATAACACAACAATATAATATCAAATCATAAATAATATTTCTTATCGAGTACAACTTCATGCAACAACTCAATTCTTATTTAAGCTTGCAAAAATCATTAAAAAATCATTTCTCGTGTCTTGCTCACGCAAGTGTGTGACCGTACCTTGACCTTTGGCTGTTATAAGTAGACACGCAAATCGTCAGTTAGTAACACTAAATATCGTGTACTTACAATCAAGATCAAGTTTTATTTTTAAAATTATTATGAACCTTTTAAGTAGGTAGGTTATAATTTTATTTTGAATGTGTGTGTTTTTTTTTTAGAAAACCTAAAATACAAGAAGTTATTCTTCTTACAGTTGAAGAAACTAGAATAATACCAATAGACTTAATCAAATCGGAAATTCCAACAAATGAAAATGAGGCCGTAGACGAAGAGGTAAATAACAACTCAAAAGAAGAACAGACGGCAATAAAATCGGAAGATCCTCTTATCGATGTAAACGAAAAACAAAACGAGGAAGAAGATAAAGTTGAAGAAGAAAACTCTGTAGATGAAAATGTCGAAGAAGAAAAAGTTGAAGAAAAAGAAAAATTTGAAGAAACTGAAGTAAAAGAGTAAATATCAAAGTACGTAAATCAACTAAAGGATGGCTCAAAACAATGTTAAATATACATTTTATACAAAGAAGAAAAGCTATTTGAAAGGTTTACCAAGTAGGATTAATAATTTTATACATTATATTTTTTGATAATTTTTTTATAGAATTTTATTAAAATTGCATTGATGTGTAAGATATATATGATATCTACATGTTATATGCCACCTTATATAAATATATWGTTAAGCTAGGTAGACAAGGTAGTTATCAAAGAAAATAATGTGTGTAATTAAATAATTTTATAATACAACAATGTATAGTTATTTTATTATATTATGTACGATTTTTCGATAATTTTTTTATACTAAATAAAAACAATTTTAAGTTTAAAATCTACCTTTAATTTGTTGACGAATTCAACAGAACACAAAATGACGTTTACCGCCTAAAAAGGCAACATTGACTTGGATTTCATAAATAGATTTTTATTATTTTTAAATCTAGTAGGTACCTCATAATATTATGAGTAGTTATTTCTTAGCGTTGTATAGCTTAGTATAAGAAATAAAGTATAATGTTTTGGTGATATATGAGGAATACTGTTATGTACATTAACTGTGATATATATTTATAATTAACTATATAGCAAAAAAAGGAAAAACCATGGGAAGAGTGATCAATTATTATTTGTAAAAGGACTGGTCAAAAATCCTTTTAGTAAAATCTGAAATATTTGCACTGTATTAATATATATTAAAATTACAAAATTTCAAATAAATGATTGCATTTTAAATAAATTTTAAGAACATATACCTACCTGTTTTGTTATTTTTGATCGCATCCGGTGCACGAACATCCTTAATCCTAATTCTATCATACTTATATGTATATGGATGTCGATTTAATCATACGTATAAGCAATTTCTACAATGCTACATCGCTATAAAAGTCTTGGATTAACTTCATACTGAACACCGTTGTACCAAAATAATTATTAATTATTATATAATTTATTTATCATATAATAATTTTGATGTCACGCGTAGAATGATCAACTTTTTTCAACACTTCMCGGATGCCAACAATACATAATCTTTACAGGGCAATCAATTTCAAGTATACCAATCATTGAATTTTTACATTATAATTTATATAGCTACATACATTAAATTATTGTCGGTATTTTCGTAAATAAACTGGTATCAATATTGTTTTTCATTGAATGGTAACTCCATTATTTTATTCTTTGTCTGATTGTAATTATCATTTACATAATATTACCTAAAAAAGACTCTTTAAGTGAGTGTTTCTCAGTTTATAAATCGGTATAATCGGTATATTTTCAGGCTAATAAATAAACAAGTTTTACATAAATCTGCATTGAATTCCTAGGTTTGTTGTAACCAATTGTTGAACATGATTTGTTTCGTTGTTTTCTGAACGTGCTGTATTTATGAGGCGTTTGTTAGTTTTCAGATGTTGCACGATAGTAAAACCTTTTTCCCGTTACATATATTATGCAAAAAAAAAAAAAAGTAAGAACAAAGTAAGTAAGCCTACCCAGAAAGTATCATCTATTATTYGAATTTGTCTTTTTTTTAATACTAGACGACTACCTATCTTAATCACATTTGACAAACCTTCAAAAGTGTTCAACTAATTAGTATTGGTTTTTCGTATGCGGTCCCCGGTGTATATATATTAAATATATACCTATTTAGGCTATATATTATAATATTATATTATATTATAATTATTATGTCATTATATTAAATTAAAAATTGAGAAAAAAAAATTAAATATTTTTTAATTCAAGTCCACGAATAGCGTGAATTACTATCACTATAATAAAACGTAGAAGGTAAACAATTTTTTGTTAAAAACCTGTGGCCTAATGAGTTAATTTATATTAATATCACGCAACCAAATAAGGCAAAAGTGGCATATCGTCGTTGACATGAAACAATAAAAACTTAAGTCTAAAGTTTTAATTTAGAACTTTCAGCGTAAACTATTATAGTTCGATAATTACTATTAGTACTTAATTACGACATTAACAAGAAAAAGGAAAAAAATTGTTTATATACCTATGACAGAGATAAAAATAAGAATACATCATATCGGCGTGAATTAGGGCTCAGATACCGTAACCGGTTGTAAAAGATTTAGAATTGAGGCTTTAGACTTGCTATAAAATCAATCTCGAATAACTATATAGGTATGGCCATAGTTTTAAATTCTCTTATTTACATAATACCTACATAAATATAATAATATTTAATATTTAATTGATAACATTTAACGGACACAATTTTAAAGTTATTAAAATAAATACCTATATATCTAACCGACGTAATGACRCAGTTGGCCTATCAATTTTACGTTTCAAACAATAATAATTGTTCATATTAAATGCATTTACAGATCGTATTCTTTTTAGTTTTTACCCGCGACCCGCCACAGATACCGTACCTATTTTCAGTCGATACTATATATTATATTATCTGTGTCGATATTCACTTACGTTTGTAATAATATATTTTATGGTATTTACCAGTTACCTTGCACCTACCTACCTGGCTACCTAATTTTTTTTTTTTTTTACGCAATAATATATATACAATCTGTACAATTATGCACAATTAGCATATTTGATAAGGGTTACAATAATACATGAGTACATGAGTAAGAAGCCACCCACTATAATAGCACTTGACAGGAAGTTGTATGAAACTAGCTATATTTATAAATAGGTACTGATTCATTTTTTTTTTTTTTGATTTTTGACGCAGAGGGTGCAACCTGGTGCGTACCCAAGGGGCTAATGGGCCCTAGCCCCCTTTTTTTAATAATTTTTCTTAATAATTCATGGTGCCAATTGAAATTGCTGAGGGTGCAGGTGCATACCCTGCACTCCCCGTGGACACGCCTATGATTTTTGATATTAGTTCCCTAGCAAGTCACGGCACCAGCTCCTTTTTAATTGACGCTTGGGGTTGCCAGGTAATGTTTGGGTTGATAGGTTTTTAATTAGTGGGTTGGTTTTGGTGTGTTTGCAGCCGGGCATGAAAGATTTTGTAGAAACATATAGCTTCTTCTGTCAATTCTAATAATAAAAATAAATAAATCAGTTTCGAGTGAATATGAGTGTAGGTCGTCGTAATATTACAACAATATTAGAGACCTTTTCAACACATATATTAATTTACAATATAATATAATATTGTGATTTCGTCGACGAAATAATATTTCTTAAACCCGTGAAGGGTGTAAACAGGGAAATCCATTAAACGTAAGACATTCATATTTAAGAATAAACTATAACGTTTTATGAAAATACCTACTTCTTTTACACGATTTTAAATCTTTTTAGAACAAAATGAATGAAAAATTTTTATTTTTTTAACTATTGTTTTAAGTTTTTACACTTTTAAATATTTTTATTTTATCTTCAAAATATTTGCAAAAAAGTTATGTGTCTTACG